CAAATGTTTTACAGATGTGAATTTTGATTAAGTTTAATTCAATTCAGTGGATGCCTTGAATGACCAAAATATGACAATTTGTGTCTGAGTCTGTCAATCAGTTCTGTGAGATGTTAACAATCTCCATTTAAAGCACATCAAACAGACACTTCAGGGTTGCAAGCCTAGACTCGTTAATTTTATTTTCATCGACTGATCAACTAAAAAGCCTACACTTTTATTGACAGAATGTTAAATATTTTCTTTGATTATGTTCCCTAAGTGTCCTTGATATTTACACATTTTGTAATTCTTGTGTATTATTTTTATAGCAAATTACATTTGCAGATATCAAGCAGCAAACACAGAAATGCAGCTAAACCCTAAGCTATGCAATTCCATTTCGTGTACAAACAATTAAATGCCAGTCTTTCAAGGCATATCACATACTTTATTAACTTTGAAATAGAGTTTTGTTTCTCATTTATGAAGGAAATTATATGCATAGCTTCAATTTTCATGAAAAGTTTCAGCCAAAAAGAAGACATCTTCAGTGAAGGAGCATTAATATTTCAGTGCTACCTGTAAATTAAATTCTACAGTATCAGCTACATAATTCCCTATCTTGCTTTCATAAGCCACTCTTCTACCGTCTGGTCTTCAATACCTTTTTATTTCAAAGCTCTAAGCTGTTTTGCTGTGATACTTTGCTAATATTTGAGAAACTTATAATTCTGTAATGTGCATCACGTCAAATGGCTCTCCAATTATTTTATTTCACTTTCAGTAAACAAATGAGCATGCTCTGTTGAAGATTAAGACCTTGACCTTTTATGCAGATATTACACACTGAAAGCCCTTTGTATACATGTGCAGTTCATCGCTTTAGTAAAATATTTTACTGACCATGCATACATCCAGCTGGAGGCTCCTACAATGGCAACATATCTGTTGTGCATTGCTTAAACCCGAGAACTTTACTGCCCTATGGAGAGAGCTCTGAACAGATCAGAGTCTCAAACGAGCTAAAACGTCTTGCTGTTCAGGAGTGAAACATGCTAGCGCTGCGTTTTGGAGCTGGTAGATGATGAGTTCTCACAAGAAGAATTTCAATCCTTTCCCCAACAATTTGGATCAGCTCTTTGAGCTTGCACTCCTGACATTTCTGTTTGTGTCTAATTCTGATTTTTTTTCCCCACACAAGTCCCATAGTACCAGAATTAGACCTTACTTGTTTCTTTTGTGTTAATGATATGAATAAGCTGACCATGACTTTTACGTTGATGTTGATTTTACCTTATTTTCACTTTATTGCTTGGTAGACTGAATCTTTTGTATGCTGCCTTGCTAGTGGAAAAGCCCTATTTTAATCGTTGCTTCTTGATACAGAAATGACATTGCACTGATTGTTAGCTGATTTACCCTTAGCCAGTTTTGTCTCTTAGGTGGCACATACATTACAACTGGCCAGCTTCTGTAAAGAAGCAGACTTTTGGACTCTTGTAGCTAATCTTGCAAACCTCTTGTAGCAAACCATTGCTTTCAGCTTTTGCTTTTCCCCAGAGCTGCAGGAACCACCTGTCAGCACAGAGATATGAGGGTAGCAAGGCAGCACGAGATACAGTGATAGCAAGCAGCACTGTCCAGCTCTTACCAAAAGATTTTTTTCTATCCAGGAGGAAAATATCTCTACCTCACATCATCTGAGGCTTTTGATGAAGTCTAGAAGGCCACTTTCTTTGAAGATGTCAACCTAAGATTGCATAGGAAAATTTGCGTTTATGTGCACAGACAGGCAAGAACTTAAGTTGCAGAGGAATTCTCAACTTGCTTGTCTACCTGAGCAGGATCTGCACATAGAGGACAGGCAACTACTTTAAAAACACCGTTTGTTTACCCCTTGTCCCCCAGAGATGATACAAGAGAATTTTAATCTTCTGCCTGTTCCACCATCCTCCTCTGTAACCTTAGAGCTTGGGGCTATGAACTTCTTTCTGATATTACTTCAGGATTTTTAATTTAAAGCCAATTTCCTCACACACTGACAGCACTTATTAACTTACATGAGCAAAGTTCTGTATTTCAGTATGAAATGCCTGGAGTTGGAAATTAATATTAGAAATTGGTATGACTTATTTTAATTTTTCTTATGAAAAAGCTCCTTGGAGAGAATAGGGTTTGAACAATGTTATTTAATCGCATAATGATAAATATAGCAAAAGAAGAGATGTGTACTAACAGCATTTTTACAAACCAAGAAACAAGCTATGCCTAGAAACAAGTAATATGGGGTAATACATCTGTCACACTGGTGCAGTGGAAACGAATCAAGAAGAATTGGATTCTACTGATATACTACTTAAGGTCGGCCACTCAAATATTAGAAGGGTGTTTTCTTGATAAAAGAGCTGCCTAATCTGATTTTCATTTTAATGTAAACTGAAAAGCTCTGGTTTACCCAGAGAATAATTTACCTGGCTGGGGTTACAAGCACAACTCCTTCACTGGTTCACGGAATTGCTAGAGACAGTGATTTGGTTTTGGTGTGGAAGCAGAACGATATTGTTATAGTAAAGCCTTGTCATTTGCTGCTTTCAGGCCTTAGTTCGTGAAGTACTTGGAGCTGGCTGTCCAAACGAGAGGCTGAGCTGTACACTTCATCGCCTATCTTCTGTTCACCGCCTTCAAAAGTGATTGACTGCCTCTGTCTTGTGAACGCAAAGCGATGGACATAGTCCAGAAAATAATACTTCCTTAAAGTATTATTTTAAATAATACTTTATTTTAAAATAAAGCTCAAAAGCCTCCTACTCCCCTTGACTTCAACACCCTCGGCCGTACGTGTGAGGCACAGGAAAGCACAGCAATGCACGGCATCGAATACCTGTCCGTGCGCTGCAGTGTCCAGCAAGGTCTGGGTGGGGGGATGCAAGTAGCTAAAGAGGGAATTCTTTTTCTTTGGAGAAAAGGCAGCTCCAGGGAGATCTAATTGCAGCCTTCCAGTACCTGAAGGGGCCTCCAGGAAAGATGGTGAGGGACTGGTTATCAGGGTGTGTAGTGACAGGACAAGGGGGAATGGGTTGAAGCTGAAGGAGGAGAGATTTAGATGAGATATTAGGAAGGAATTCTTCCCTGTGAGGGTGGTGAGGCCCTGGCACAGGTTGCCCAGAGAAGCTGTGGCTGCCCCTGGCTCCCTGGCAGTGTCCAAGGCCAGGTTGGATGGGGCTTTGGGCAACCTGGGCTAGTGGAGGGTGTCCCTGCCCATGGCAGGCGGTTGGAACTAGGTGGGCTTTGAGGTCCCTTCCAACCCCAACCATTCTAGGATTCCATGATTCTATGAATTCCCTGTAGCCTATTGTGCAGTGATCCCCCTGGGCATGCCAGACCTGAAAAGGCCAGGAAAGTGATAAACTTCACCCCACCTGGCATGCCTGGCCAGTGCCCAACCCTTCAAGCATTCTCCATGCACTCAAGATCCTACGTCTTGACTCTTCTCACAGTCGCTCTCTGTGGCAAAGCTCTTGGTCCTCAGCAGGCTGAAGACCCAGGGGAACATTTAAGTGGTCCTTGTGTGGACTAAAGGGAGGACAGTTCGGATTTTTCTAACCCCTCTTCTGGATCTTAGGGCTACTGGGACATGGATTAGGATGCCCCAGAGTTAAGAGGTGGTGGGGAGGTGGCACCTGAATGCTGGCCTGAGATGCCAATAGAGAGGCACGGAAATACTTCTGACAGTCCCGGTTAGAGCACTCGGCGTCACTCGGGATGCAGCCGCAAGCTCTTCTGTGACTGCGACAATGTTCATTAAGTTTAGAGACCCAACATAAAATGAAATTTAACCATTTTTGGTGAGACAAATACGCTAATATCTTATAGCCTGAGAATTAAGGCTCAATGCCCATAATAATAAATCTTTTTATGCCCTTTTAAAGTGTGTGGCAAGGAGGGTCTTCTTGTGACTAGTAAGCAAAAGTGAAGGTAAATATAGTAACACCGTTGTTACAAATTTATTTGCAACATTGTTACAAATAAACAGCAGGAAACAATTCGCTGTTATTCTCACGAACATAAAACCAATGATGTGACGTGCAGGTTTCCATTTTTACCAAGAGACTGCAAGACCTTGTGAATTGTTTTGGTAGAAATAGAAATTCAAGACATTCTACTGAACTGGAAAAACTTTGGGCTGGCTACACACCTGCTTATACTGAGTCTTAATTCAGCTTTTTCAATGATTTTTTTATGATGGATCTGAGTTTGACTGAAGGTTAGTTGGTTTTGGGTTTTTTTTCCTCTGGTCTCCATAGCACCATTTCAGTTTTTCCAGAGTCTAAATAATGAATGCAAGTTGTAAATTTCCTTCAACAACTAGATAACACTTTTCTGGATATACTCACTTTCTAATACTTTATGTTTCATAGAAGTAATTTTGTGTTTCCCATAGGAGCCATTTCCAAAGATAAGCTGTTAGGTAGATAAAGACATCTGACCATAAATCACAAGGATTTTTTTCAGCTATGAGCCTGAACAGCTTTGGTATTTGATGTTTATGACTAATAAAGTCTATCCAGTCAAACAAAACTATCATTTATGTTTGCGCACCACATTCTCACATCAAGTGGATCGTGTTTGGCCAGATTTTTATGGCCTGACCTATTCAGACAAGCGTCTTCCCCTGCAGATCACCCCCTGAACCAGGGAGGCAATCTGAAGAGTAGGTGAAAAAAGTGACCTGAGAGTCTGCCAAGTCCTGTGGACTGACTTCCTAAATCATCCTCACGCGACCAACATATCACCTGGGCTGACTGAACAGAGTTTGACCCACAGACTCCCTCAGGATTGTATAAGTGCTGTGCCATTTTATAGTTTTGTTAGCTCAGTAAATGCAGTATCTGTCAGAGGAGTGGAAACGTCGCACAAAATTTTCACAGGAGACCTGAATCATTTTCTGGTTCAGAGTGCCCTACTTCTCTGAGTAAAGAGCGCATCTCAGTAGTCCTTTCCAGAATGTAGGTTCACACTTACCTTGTAATTACATAAGGTGCAAAACAAAGTATGAAAGTACCAATAAAGGTACTTATTTTCTTTGTTGCTCGCTGCCTCCGTCTCTTTTGTTCTTCTAGACAACGCTCTCTTACGCTGTGTGACATTCAACACAAACAAGAACGTGAATCATAACGTCAGGTAGCAGATTTTAATGGTTTTACTTACGGAATGATGGCAATCAATCGTTCCAGTAAGTGTTGTATTCGCATAAGCCAATACCAGGTGCACTGCTTTTATATGGACAATACCAAGTATTAATGCATTGCATGATCATCTCACCCTCCAAAAACAATTACTGAGAAATACACAATTATATATTTCTATGCACATGCCCCCATTATATCGATTTATATATAGTCGCATTCATGGAATTCAGCCTTGAATTCAGTTGCAGCTCTTTTTTTGAATCACTGTAAGCTGTATTTGCAGACCTGAGTTTGCCTCATGATATTCAGAGATGCAGTAAATATCCAGAGTGGGGTAGACAGCATGCTACTGCCCTACAAACAGCAATTCCAACACCACTATCTTAGGTAGGAGAAACTTCCTAGCAAGATAAGCAATTAAACACAATAAAATCATAACGGGGGGAGTGGGGGGGCGGGGGGGAAACATGCTCTGAACATTCAGCCCAGCGTTGGAGCAATCACGATACCCCACAGCTGTGAACTGTGTGGCCATAAATCTTTCGGCAGCCTGTGCAGCTTTGCACAGCCCCTGTGCTGAACACTCCGCAAAGCCGGGAATTGTGTAACAAATCCACAGCGCTGTGATGCTCTGAGTCCTCACCTCAAACCAGACTTGTTCCCGACTAAGCAGATACAAATTAGTCACACCCTGGGGTTTTTCCTACTTGTGACGTTTTAGGACAGGAGGTTCTCCTTTGAGTTTCCCAGTGGTGGTCTCACCATGAGAGAACTGCTTAAGACCTTTGGTGTGCCAGCAAGGTGATGGGAGCACGGGGCTGAGACCACATTTCCACTGCAGGAAATCCCCTTTGAAATCAGCACGTCTGCTTGCTAAAAGAGTGATCACATAAAAAAAACCACCCTCCTTCTCTACCCGCTTGTGTAACTCCTGTGCTGGCTGTGTGTTTTGAGGGAAGCGGATGGGTTACTGTCTTCTCCAGGCAGGTAGGTTGGATGGGCAGCACTAGTTGTATCTCCCAGGGCCACTTGTACCTGAACTAGTCCCTTTGGGAAAGAGAAAAACCAAAGCCAGACAGTACTGAAATCCTTCTCTACGCACGTAGCAGCACTGCTACGAGTCGACTCAATGCCCAGGTCTCGTGGTAAAGCAATCGCGTGTCTCAGGCAAGCCAAATGGTCTGGCCCACGTGCTGCATTTTGTAACTGTTTGGCATTGGTCTCTCTGGTTTTATTGTAAATTTGCAAGTGATGGCTCACTATCAGGTTCCACACTCACATATGTTAATAGCTGCAAGGTTTATGGCATACCAATTATGCTGTTTGCTGTACCTGCAAATGTTTGATCATCATCGAAACACGTTATCTCCCGGGGATCTCAGCGTGCTTTGATGATCCATGTGGCAGTGAGTTCTTGTGTTCTCTTTTGGTTGTGTTAAAGAAAATGTGTTTTCTTAGATCTGTTTTACATAAGGTCTTACATTGCCAGTCCCAAGAGCAGATACCATGGATGGCAAAATGAACAAAATACTGGAGGAGAAGGTTTTCCTGCTTGAAATAACAAATCGTCTCACTCTTAAAGAATATGCCTAAGTAGAATGAAAATACATCTAAAAGTGTTACATGTTCTACGTCTAAGTTATTTGCAGCAAGAAATGACAGCTGAGAAGGAAAAAAAAATCCACCTTTTCAAGGCAACCTATGTGCTTTCAGTTCTGCAAAAGCTGGAGAACTTGGAGTAATTTTAGGTGCAGACAGATGATCTTAGAGGTTCGACAGCTTTGCTTAAGACCTGCGTTATTAAATTCATAGTAACCCAGGCACACGGCGATATAGGAAGAGAAATCTCCAGAGTAGGTTCAATTTGGGTATTGTGAAGGTGTAGAGGGTGGTGTATTTTTTGCTCTAACTGTTTTCCCAGTTATACCTTTTCCTTACTGACACATTCAAAGCTGTCTTTGTCTCCTGGAGCTCACACATGACTTGAGAAGTCCTGATAGACTTCAACCAATTTTTATTTTTTTTAAGCCTTTCCAGATGTAGCTAATAAATACCACATCACAGACGAAGGTATTTTATCTCATTCCTTCATGTAGACAATGTATACAGATGGGTATGTTGCTTTTGCACACATTTTTATGCACTAAGATAAGAACATGTATGCAAGGTCCAGTAGTGACACTAGTAATAGAACTGGATTATTGACTAAGCTTTCATTTCAAGATTTTAATATCCTGTAAAATCTGAGATATATCCCTTTGAAGGTTTGGTATTTTAAACAAAGTTTATAAGATATTGGACCTTAAGATCTGTAAAGCTGGATACGCCAAAAAGATAGTATAAATAATTTGGGTGAAGAAATACATGGGATAAGCACTTAAGTGAAGTCTTGCCCAAACTTCTCACAATACCTACGATATCTCGTTCTTAAGAACAAAGTCAAGAAAAAGCAATATCCAGTAAAAATGCCTAAGCTAACTTGAAAGGACACGTGTCCCAAACAGTCACACAATTTCGTGTGGTATTTAGAGGTTTCCTTTGTACTTGTCTCGCACGATCTTCAGAAGATCACTCGTGTCTTTCCAAGGCACGGGTAATAAAGCCGTCTGTCACAATGCCTGGCGCTGGACCCCCTCGCGGGTGGATTCTGAGGCATAGGAAGCAGAAAACTGTCCGCACACGTTTCTCAGCGACGAAACTAGACCGCGCAAAAAAGCCAGAGAAGTCAGGGTAGTCTAAGGTGGGATTACAGACTTCTCCCAGCACCCATGTCTATGCTATTAGGTGCTATAGTAAACACTGCAATTGCCCATATATATATACACCACTTATATAATTCAAACGATGCCTTTGTTATGTCAGAGCTTAATGAACGTCGCTGACTGCTCCAGGAGAACTGCAGCCTTTCTGCAGCTCTCACAGGAGAGGCAATCCGAGGTCTAACCCTTGCAGTGGTGATAGCTGTCACCAGTTAAGGCAGCACTACCATAGGCTAAACCAGCCACCGTTTCTGTAGCCTGGAAAAGAAGCTCAAACTCTCCTTTCTTAGAGAGAGGGATTAGAATAACCTGATGCAAGAGATAAATGATGGTTGGCAATATGAGTTACTCGCAGCAAAGTGCCTGTGCAACTGTGTCCCTCTGAAGAAAGGAGGTATCATTCCCACAGCCCCATTGAACCCATCCCTCAGTGAGGTAATTACAAAATGCAGAGACACCACCAAATTAACCTAGACAAGAAAAAATGCAGAGGAGGAGAAATACCATAGAGCTTTTTGCCCTTTTCCTAAACTTTCCTGTGCAGTCCAGGCATACTTTAAGCATTAGGCATCACAATCGCTATTCCAAATAGCCCCAGTGGGTCGATGGCCCTGCCCTGGGAGTAACCGCTGTACCTCACAGCGCGTACAGGAGCTAAGCCCAGTTGAGGTACAGTTTAGCAACCAGACAGCACGTAGGGCAGAAGGGTGGTTTTTTTTTCCTCTCTGTGACTTGGGGGATAAGGGAAGATTTATACATGTGTTTCTCAGGAACAGGACTTGCCTGAAGTTCTGCTCCGCATTCTTGGTCAAGAGACGGATCAAACAGCTTAACTGGAGAATTTTGAGCAAATGTTTCTGTTCCTCTAAGACTGTGCTGTCCTGCCCTGATCCTTTCAGACTGATTTGCCTTAGGCTTAGGAATCCCCAAAATATGACCTTTTTTTGAGGACAGCCACAGCTTTCAGTCCTGCAGCTCTGCTCCTGGCTGGCTGCAAAGGGAGGGAGCTGGTGTTCCCCTCCAGCTTGCAGAGCAAAGGACAGCAAGGGGGGGGCAGGTGGGATGTCTGGCGTGGGACTGCCCTCTTCGGCTGCTCTCGGCTTTCCTCTCCTCCAGGCAGACTTCTTCCCCCGTATCAGACACCTCCCTGCGCTGCCAGCTGTCAGCATTTTTCTGAAAGACATTTCCCTTCCCTTCAGTCTCTGACAAAGATAGTCTGAACCTTAAGATCCCGTCTCTGACTCTCTCCCAAGCAGCACACGCATCCCTCACAGCCGCTGTCACCCTACCTACCCAAACCATTTTCTCCCTTTTTTCCAGGCAAATACATGAGACCCGTTCCTTTCCAATCACCCGCTCCAGCCACACTAAACCCTAAGACAGGCTAGTTCCTCCGAGCAAACGGGGCTGATTTCTTTGCACACTGCGACCAGTGCCCCTGGTTTTCCCTTCCCAGAGCTCACTCATTGACTCTGCCACCCCATTCCAGTCCTACCTGGGTCTTAGCCCGATCTGCCCCAGCTCATCAGAGCCTCTCAGCCCTCAGCCAGGACAGGCTGATCCATCAGCCACCCTGTCCTGCTCCATCCTGGCTCAGCTGTGCAGGTTCACTTCTCAAATCCCCGTTTCCCAGGGCAGATCACTCTGGCGTGTCCTGCTGCTCCCTTCTCACCAGCCCGGTCCCACGTCCTTCCAGACGTGCCTGTTTTGGTCCTCTCCATTTTCTCCTCTCTGCTTCTCATGGGCAGAGCCGTCGCGTACTCACAGCGCACACCGGCTTCCTCCTCCCCCGTGCACCGGGCACCTTCCCCAGCTCCTCGCCAGGATCGCTGCCTGCCCAGCACCACCCCTGGGCTTCCATCCAGCAAGGCTTTCTCTCCTTCAGCTTTACCACTATGCACCCCTTACTGACCCAGGGAAAACTGTCTCTCCCACCTTCCCTCCTCCAGCCAAATGCACATCCCTTCCAGATCCAGACCTAGCCTATTCACGCAGGATTTACAGTTTGTGTACGATGCCTGACAGGACTCTGTTGCACAGAATCCCAGCACACTTTCATGCCCGTTTGCTGCTTGCCTTCAAGCCCATTATCCTCCCAGCCCTTGCAGACTTTTCTCCTCCTGTGTTTGGGCACAAGGGGCTTGCTTAAAGACTTTCATTTGAAATGAACTTTGTACATCCCTTGCTTGTCATATTAGCATTGCTACTGAAGTCTCTCTCACTTGGATTTAAGTGCAGGCATTCAAGTGTATGCGTTTTGCAGATGTTATTCCCTTACAATTCTGCCTTCAGGAAAGATAAATTTACAGAGAGCAGCGCAATAGGGAAACTGCCGGGCGAAGGAGCCGCACGCAGCGCCTGGCTTCCCTTCTGAACTCCGACCGAAGGGACATGTGCAGCCTCAGCCTGCTCCTTCTCAGGGATCCAGCAACGCTTTGGGCTGACCATGCCAAAAAATGCAAATCTATCGACCACTAAATCCACCTTCAGAGACAAATGGCAGTGATCTGATCACTATCTCGAAGGGAAGTGCATGCTCAACCAAAACTGCCTGTTTCTTTGCTCTCCCTCCCGAAACAAGCCCTTAAGCATAACAAAAAAGAGTTGCTTCTACAAGCAGAAAAAGAAACACAAGTACCAAGAAACATGCAGAATAGAAACTGGCAAGAAGGATGCTTGTTTTCTCCCCCTCCCCATGCCCTGCTGTGATACAGCTCAAACTGTATTTAACATAACATTGAACCCCAGCCTCGCTTCCTCTGCAGTGAACAGTCCCACTTGCTGAACACACGAGCACCTTACCTGGGATGGATGTCCACAAGCAGCACCAGGGTCTGCATAGTGATCACGTCAATCCGCTTACAGTGAAACCGTGCCACCTTCAGCACTTTTAGATACGTGAAACACAGGACTATAAGGGAGAGGAGGAAGCTGAGGGTGTGAAAGACCCCAGTGAAAATCACAAACTGTGTCCTATCCTCTGGTCTCTTGTTGTACAGGGTGCAGGAGGCATAGAGGTGATGGAAACCCACCCAGGAGAGAGAAGCTGCCACTATCGGAAATGACACCGAGTGTAACCACGTGTAGCTCAGTATGAGAGCAGCATCTCTGTACCTCATTTTGGAGTGATAACTTAGAGGGAAGACCACAGCAATCCACCTGTCAATGCTCAAAGCTGCCATGCTCAACATGGAGTTCGTGGTGAGAAAAGTCTCCAGGAAGCCCACAATGTGGCAGATCTGATCTCCTCCTGGTTGGCTCTTGAAAATGATCCCAGCCAAGGTCAGGGGCATGTTCGAAACAGTCATCAACAGGTTGCAGAAGGTGAGGTTGAGGATGAACAATCCCGGGACCTGCTTGCGGATGTCGGCGCTGTACAGGAAGCACATCAGCACCAGCACGTTGGCCAGCAGGGCCACGAGCATCAGCACCACCACCACGAAAGCCAGGATCACCTCCCAGATGCTCATGGTGCGTCCAGTCACAGGAGGGACATCTCCGAAACTGTGCCGCGCCGGCACCCGGGGAACATGGTGCGAGGCGCGCTCACCTCACCCTCCTCCCCAGCCTGCTCGCACTCTTGCATGCCCTCCGTATTTTTAGAAGAGCTGCAGTTTTTTTCTCCAACCTCCCCCTCCTCGCTGCTCCTTTCCACGTCAACGCTTTCCGAGACGTGCACAAAAGCACTGGGAATGCCCATCAAACTGCAAGGAGGGCTTAAAAAATATCAGCAGGACTGAACCACTGTCTCCATTCGGTCCATTCGAAGGAGAGCAGGTTATTCTGAGAAACTGCTCTCCTGAGATCCCTAATTATCAGCCCAAAGCTTGCAAGCAATTCACCGAGTGGATTGTGCTCTCTTTCTCTCTTGCTTTCTGTCTCTCTCTCTCTCTCCTGCTCTTTCTCTCCCCTCCCCTCTCCTCCAACCCTCACTCCCTTCCAGGCTGAATGTAACCTGCTTTTTATGATCACAGATAAAAACCCCATTAATGGATTAAAGCATGCACACTGCTGGTGATTCGCAAACGTGATTATGTCATCCCCACTCCACAACCCCTCCCCTTCTCCTTGTGATTGTGACTAGACTTTCCTCAAGAGAAATCCCATGCTTTCATTTAATTGATTTAGCCATTAATTTGCAAACAGCCATGTAACTGAATTCCTGCACTCCAGCGTGTTTCCTACATTTCGGTGCATCGCTTGCACAGTTGCTGCTTGCTCTCACCCAGGGCAGGGGTTTTCTCTTCTCTTCATTAGCTGTGCTCAGAAAGATGGGGAAATATGGATGTATTCTGCTACTTCTCTGGAGCTGTCATTAGGCTACCGGAATGGTTTTACTGCTCTACTTTAGCACTTTGCAGTCCTGTTTCTCCAAGCATGATGTGTAGGAGGAAAATGCTTGCCTCCCCTCCTCCTTTAAAAGCAGAGAAACCAAAGCCCCAAATGGCACTGTAACATGCCCAAGGTCATAGAGCAGGCGAGTGGCAGAGACAGCAACGTGCTGACAGTCTCGCTATTCGCTCAGGTTTTCTCCCTTTCAACAACAACCTTTGCTTCTTCCTAATCAAAGCCTCCCTCCCTGTGAGGTTGAGCATCCTGTGAGATCAAAACCAAGCAGCAGCTTGGCAAAGGAAATAGGAATGAGTCTGTATTGCATATAATTAGGTGTTAAAATTAAGTTTGTTTTAAAGGACGGAGTGGGAACCGTTTTCTGATTGCCTTTCCTGTCTCTTTAAAAGAGTTTTAACTGGGAATGCTGCGCGGTTGCGAGCAATCAGGACAGCTTTCTCATCAAGGCAGCCAAGCCTTAATCCGTGCACAATAAGGCAAAAGATACCCTGCAGCGCAGTTACTGTGGCTTAGTAAGTGCCTCTGCACGTGTGCGAGAGCTAGATGCTTAGGTAGATTTTTTCCGCTGTGCTCGCAGTCCTTGCCGGAGCCGTGCATGCTCGATTTACGGCAGCTATTCATTCCAGACACTTGGGCTCATCCGCTCAGTGGCAGAGCTGTCACCCTGTGCTGCGTCAGAGCTTTGCATGTTGTAGGAAGACCTCTTCTCTTCCACTCTGGTTTGGTTTTGTTTTCTTAAACCCAGCTTTAAAGGGCTAATTGAGACAGAAGGCTGTCATCAAAGACAGCTGGGGCTCTCTGGGACAGTTTAGCTGGGTACCAGCTCCTCCACGCACGCACTCAGCAGAGGAGGAGCAGCTCAGGGTGCAGAGCCCAGGTCTGTCCGTGAGCCCGGTGAGCTCCCTGTCTCCAGAACACAAGCACATGTCCTCGTGCTGGGTGAAAGAGGAGCAGGACTTCAGTGTCTGGTCTTTTCCTGAGTGGCAGTGATTCAAAGCCACATGAGAAAAGCCTACAGGTGACCCCTTCTCTAAATAAGAGGGCTCGTTACCCTCTTAGGAGAGGTAGGCTAGGGAGATGAGTGAGAAGATGCAGATCTTGCTGCTGCATGGCACCAGAACCTCAGCAAGTTTCCTTCTTGGGTAGGAAGCAACTGCCCTGGCTGAGAAAGGTGTCCTAGTGTCAATGGCCTGAGCAGGGTGTCCATGTGACAGGACCTAGCACGACGCCAGCTTACAGCTCAGCAAGCAAAGACAGCTGCAGGCCCCCGGGAAGAGGCCGTGTGAATTGGGAGGCACTGGGAAGAGAAACTGGGAAGTTTCTAAAGACGTGGCAAGACTTGCTGGGAGACTAGGAAGGACAGGGAAAAAGGAAGGGAAAAACCCAGTGACACATGGGAGGCGGGTGCTCTGTGGCAGTGGTAGGGAGGAATCGCACGCACGCTTGGTGTCAAGGTGATACCTGGCTTCTCCTTCCCACGCTCAGCCTCCTCCTTGGCTCAAGTCAATCCTGCAACGTCCCCAGCTGCACAAGTCATTCAAAGCCCAGCAGGACAGGCACTGGGTAGTCATTTATCTTGCCTTGCAGCACACCATGGGTTTATCAAGAGGCCATGGGTTTATCAAGATGGTGTCCCGAAGCAGCGTGCTGTTTTGCCTGCAGTGAGCTGTGGTGTCTCTTGGATTCAAAAGCTCTGCTCGCGAGTAATTCCCTGGTGTGACAGGGGGTCTGACATCAGTGTCAAACCCAGATGGACAGGGAGGGAGGAAATTTGCATCTGGAGATAAAGGATTAGGGATGACAGTCAGGAAAGGAGGATTCTCCCCAAGTGATGGAAAAATGTGAAATAATGGGAGGCAGAAGGAGATGGTTCAGTGAAGCAGTGATGGAATATTAAAGGTCGTATTTGGGGGGTGGCATGGGATAGACACTGCAGAGGACCTGTCCTGAGGGGGCCAACTTGGAGCTGATGTGGAGGAAATAGTGAACAAAGGGTAATGGTGGACATATCTTGAAGGGCAGGAGAGGCTGGCAGGACTAAGGACTGGCTCTGCTGAATCCCTTTACCAGGGAGTGGAAAAGCACCGGGAGTGGATAGCTGCAGGACTGTCTAGAGCAGACCCACAGTGTCTTCTGTGTGATGTCTGAGCTCCTTCTTCCAAGATGTGAAATCTCCCCTCCCTCCACCTAGCCCTTTTCCCCCCAGAGTTTGGGAGGGTGCTACTCCTGTTCATAACGCTGTGGGAAAGCTAAACTAAAGCAGCAAGTTTGTCATGTACTTCAGTAATTGTTGGCCTAAATGAATGAAGCATCCCTAGTCCAATGCTTCGCAGTTTACCGATTGCTTTGCCTTTTCCTATGAAGCTATTCTGTGTCGTACAAGTGTCGCGGGTGAAGAAAATTTTGTTGTCAGTAAGGCTAAATTCCCAGTGTTTACAGGAAAAATGCAGCAGCTAAAAAGGTCTTAAATCTACAATAAAGTGAAACAGCTTTCTAGATTTCAGGAGAAATCTGAAGTTTTCTCTTGATTACTGATTTGAGTCTTGGTACGTATGTCTAACTCTAAAGGTCCAAGTAATTTACATAATTGATTCCCCTGTTGGTTATCTCTGCAGCTGAGGATATTTACTGAATGCTTCTGGATTTACTTATCATGCGTACCTAAGAGAGCACCATGGATCCATCAAATAGCTTCATTTTATACAAATCAGGAGGAAAGGGTATGCTGTGCATGTTTTATCACTGTAGAGGAAATGAATGCGTTGCCTGTGAGCTCCTAATGGCAGGGACTGCAAGTTTGGTTTGTAATATTTCAATGACAGGCTACATTATGAATTAGCGTTAAGCACTACCAATAAGTATCAGTTGTCACCAGTGAACTCTGACAGTACTAGGTCTGGGTTTAGAAGATCAGTACCCCGTTGGCACTTGCTCCGTTATTAAGCACAAAAAAACCCACCCCAGAACATCTACTGTATTTTATACATATTAAATGCATAGGTGACTCTGTGAAGAAGCTTGGCCCAGCAGGTAGAGCAATGGGCTAGTAACCAAGAGATCTGGCTCCTGTGTGACCATGGAGACATCAGCTCATCAAACCTCTCCCATCTGTGCTTTGTTCAATAAACTCATGGGGACAAAGGCAAGGTTTGTATACACAATAAAGCCCTGATCCTTGAGAGAGCTTAAAAGCCTTATCTTAATCAAATAATGAATTTTATCCATAAATGACCAGTTCTAGACGGATTACACAAATCTCTTGCTATTCTCTTACAATGGCCCGTAGCTAATGGATTTGTGGCCTACATCCCACGTGCATACCAGCTTACCCTGACAGAGATATGATTTGTACTAGTATTGTACCAAACAGGAGGGATATTGCAACAATATGAAACTCCTCTAGATAAGACATTAATTTATTATTCTCCATGTAGTAATTTTTATTACATTTTTGTCCATATTTGGCAATGGACAAAGGCATGAAGCTGATCAAATCTTCCATATTTTGGGTTGATCTTTCAATTTCAAAACGTCTATAACACATGGAGGGAAGGTTTGTCTTTGCTGGGGTGGTCATGAAGAAAAAAGCTTTCTCTACATGTTATCCCACTTTATGAAATGGCTACTTGGGATAAATGAAATTTTCAAAGTTATGTCCTGTATATCCTAGATAGGAGGCTATTTTGATGACCTAACTAAAACATCTAAGACATTAATTTCATAGGAAACTAATGTTTACGGCTTTATATCACCAAGAAAACTACTTGAAAATCTAACCTGAAAATGCATTTCAGGTCTGATGCATTTCCTTTGTACTGAAGGTTGTAGCTCTCCAATTTTTCTGTCAGATTTTCAGATCTCAGCTTCATGCTTTCCCTGCCTTTTCCTTCTCCTGTTGTCTCATCTTCCTCCTTTGATCAGCAATGTACAAACTTTACAGGACCTTAATAACAGGAGCATTGACACATGGAGGACAGTGTTTCTCCTTTATCTGTATCTTAGCCCGTTCAAAGACAGCCAGTGTCCCCTGGGAAGCCAGTGTGCCTGCAGACAGCCCATGGGTATTTCCTCTTCCCTCCGTCAGTCCTGACTTTTTGCTTCACAGCTGTTTGGAGAGTTT